GGGGCTGGCAGAGGCTGCTGGCGGGGGCTCGGGACTCGGGGGGGGCCAGCCCCGAGCTGGGGGGTGGCAGCTCCTGCCCCATCGCCGCGCGCGTTCAGCTTGAGAGCTGGCCGTTGCACTTGTTGAAGGTGGCCAGCCCGCGTTCGCAGTAGAGCTGGCTACATGGGTTGTAAATTCCCTGGGCCACAGGTGGGACGGGAGGCAGAGGCCTGGAAAAGCGTGTCTGAGGCCAGGGGAGCAGGGTGGGAAGCTGCTGAGTAAGGCACAGCCCTGTCTGGTAACTCAAATGTATCTGAGGTGGCTGCGTGCAGGGTCAAATGAGTTGCTTCCGCATACCTTTTCCTAGAGGTGGGAGCCCAACGGGTGGGATGTGCTGTGGAGACACTGTGCAGCTACCAGATGGGGCATCTGCATGTCATGGGACTGGAAGGGACTGTGTTCCTCTGGTTCGTGTCCCATGTAGTGCAGACTTCAAGGACTTCCCTGAACTAACTCCTTTTCTGGGCTATGGTGTTAAAGAAATGTGTAGCCTCAATCAAATGGTTGAGAGTCACGAGACCCTTCTTGGCATTATCAAAGTCCTGTGACTCTGATAGACTTCAGTGGGAAATAGAGACCTGCTACAGTGTTCAGGATAAAGCTCTTTTTGTGTATTACGTCTCTGTAGAAATACAAACTATGGAGGTTTCTCATTACTCGATACCATCTAAGAAGATGGGAGAAGAGGCAGCTTTAGTGCAAATGGGTTGAAAATTTTGTGTGAGATGTCAGTGCTTCACATGATATGGAAGTTCCAAGGGTGATAATGATGGGAGGTGTGTACGTGTGAGAGTTAGAGGGGGACAGCAGATAGAGAGGCCCCATGTGTCTCACCACTAAACCCCTGCCTGAAACAGGGAGGATTAATGTGTACCAGAGGTGGCTTCATTTTAAGCATGGCAGATTGCGACAGTTGCTTATTTGACCGATGCACAAAATCGCCTGAAAGTAAAAGCTAGAAGGTAATGAAGACAAGATAATATTAGAAAAGGGGCAGATCCACATGCTTTCACAAGCCATCTGCATGTTGGTGCCCTTATAATGTGAACCCTATCACAGAAAGTGGAAAGAGGCTTGCATGTATTTATTCAGTGCCTAACACAATCGCAGTACGTGACAGCATCCTTTACAGGGAACAATGGGGTTTATTATATATTCGCATCTCCTGGAGTTCACTCAGTGCAAGACGCAGCCTGGCCACAGGCTTTTGATGATTACAATTCCAAATCCTCTCTCCCTTCAGGTAATGAGAATATATTTGGCGAGTGAACTGCAAGCACTTCCTTACAGATGATACCTGTCATCTGTGTCCTCTCACCTGCCGGAGGGTATTTGCGTTGAATGTGACAGGACATCTTTTGGCGGAGAGCAACTGGAATGACTGGAGAAGAGGCTGGTAGGTAGCAAGTTCACCAAGTACTTAGCCCAATCCCAGCCTGCACCAAGGACCACCTAGGAAAATGAGTGCTTTGGAGTTTGTGGAGTGTACACACCAAAATGGGGGACTGGGTTTGAACAAAGGCTGTAAGTTGAGTTGTGTTACCTAAAAGTAGAATTAAATGGTTTCAGCTGAAAGTTACGAAGTCTGTAGTGGCAAGACACTGCTAGCTGTCATCCTTTTCCTCCTTTCTCTCCCCCAAACATGGTAGCACACCAGTCCATCTTTGCTATCCCAGCTGCCAGAGTGGCCAGCCCATATACTGTATTGAGGAATTAACCTGACCATAAAAAAATCCTTTTTTTAAACTAGGCAATTTGTCAACCAGGTTCATCCCCTAGTGCAAGGCAAAAAGCGTGTCTGTGCTGTGTTTCTAGTTTGGGACTGTTCGGGCAAGAGGCGAGAAAAGCATCTTGTAGAGAGAGGGAAATTTCATTTCCTCTGTGTACCTCTAAGTGTTTGTGGTTTGATAGTACAACCTCATATGTCCTTTAAACTCAGCCTGAATTCTCTAATCTGGGGGAAGTTGCAGTCTCAAGTGGAAGTTGTGAGAAAGTTGTGGTTTCATACGATATTCACCTTAGACCAGGTTTTGGTTTAAAGGTTATCATCACTTGCAAAAGAAATGAGTTTATGAGCGTGTTGTTTGATATAATTGGTTGATTTCCAAGAGTAAGTTCTTGAAAACAGTAGGTTTTATTAAGACTATATGAGTGTTTAAAAGTTTACTTTTCTGTTCTGCTGTGAAATACAGAAGCAAGACAAATTGTGATGATCAACAGACCCCACCCAGCACATTGACAGCTGAGGTAAGATTAGAAGTATTTTGGTGAGTATTCATTTGAAAAAATGAATTTTAGTCATAACTTCAGGCTCAGAATCGATGATGTGTTACAATATCATTGAGGATGAGAAAAGGAGGGGGAAATGTATATATAAAAATATATATTAGCTATTATAAATATATACTATAGATATTCTAATATTAGAATATACACATATAATGATACATTAATATATAATGCTTTCAATATAAAAGTATATATGTTAGTAATTATATATATTTTATACAGATATAAAATCATAAATTTTTAATCATTTGAAAGACCTTTTCTTTAGAGGTCAGATTGTGAAAAATGCCTTACAGTTTCATCCCTTGGCACACATGTTTCTTGTTACCAGTTAAATATGCAATGTAATTTAAAAATACTATAAGGGTTCTCCTGTAATTGGTCTGTATACTGTAAATAGAAATGCGTGTGTTTTTCCAATTATCTAGACCCTGCTGCCATTGAAGAATGCTTTTAAATTCATTTCCAACTGCAATTTGCAAAGCCAACGGAAATTTCAGTAGATTGTTACGATAGAAAAAGAAAATAAATCCTTTGTGATAGGGCCTGTGAGCTGGTTGTTAACATGTGCAGGGAACAATAGAAAGGAAGAAAAATTTTAAAACTCTCTTCTTGGGAGGGAAGGAGTGAAGGGGAAAGACAGAGATAGAGATAATGTGAGGGAAAACACTTCTAGGAAGCAAACTTGGGCTTGGGGAATTATATTCCTACTTTCCCTGTGACGCTTTTAGTTGTTTTTTTTAAATTGTTCCACTTATTTTACTCATTCTTTTCTTTTCTGTTTGCTTCCCTGGCTGATTGTGTCTGTTCCTTTTTCTCCTTTTCCAGTTTGTTTAAATTACATTCTTCCTGATCCACGTCAAATTCATGTTTCTTGCAACTTTAGGGAAGTTGATGGAGTTGTGCTGTCTATAAACTAGGTGTGAGTGATTGCGTTGAATGGATGTGTTGTGTTTCAGCTGCCTTTTTTATAAGGACATATAAACTGAATGATGGTCTTGTTTACTTTAAAGAGGTATATAGTGTAATTTAATTAAATAACATTTCAAGCAAGAATAGAGGTCTGTATGCACAGATCCAATTATAGCATCAGGGCCTGGGTGCACAATAATTAGCCTACTCAGCATACCAAATATGATTAGACAGACACAATCAGTCAG